TGTCCTTACACCGTCCAATCATGATTGGTGGAGCTGGCGGGAGTTGAACCCGTGATCGGGATTCACATAGTTTATTGAATACGAACGATTTATTTTTTCACGCAAGGCATTATGTGCATTTTACGTACATATTGTTGTCCCGGTAACGTCCTGATTCTGTACAACATTTTGAAAAATTTTGCCGTTACGGGGTTGCAGAAATCGCCGTTTTTCCATCGTATTCTGCAAGGTAAGAGCCGTAATGTCTGAACAGCATTTCCGGTCCTTTATGCCCCATCTGACCAGCAAGCCAGAACAGGTTAACACCCTGGCTAATGTGCCGAGTGGCGAACGTGTGGCGTGTCTGGTACGGATTGCGATAGCGTACTCCAGCCTTTTTAAGGGTCGGTACCCAGGCTTTTTTGCGGATCGCATCTGCGTTTGCCCAAGGAGCGCGAGTTTTCGGATCGCTGAATATGAAGTCGCTTTTTAGCGCCGTGTAGGGCTTTTGTGCCTGAAGAGCTGCCAGTGCTTCGTTGTTCAGTTGTACTTTGCGAGTGCCGGCTTTTGTTTTGGTGCTTTTGATTACCCCGACTACGCTTGCAGTCTGGACATGTGCAGTGTTGCCGATGAAGTCTATATCTGTCCAGCGTAACGCGCACAATTCTGAGCTGCGCAGTCCGGTATTAAAGGCAAAGCGAAACAGATTTCGCCATTCCGGGTAATGACAGGCGTCATAGATTGCTGCCGTCTCCGCTGGTGTAAAAGGATCGACCTCGTAATCATCACTGCCTGGTGTGTTGTCCAATACGTGATACCGGCTGGCGCTGACCAGCGTGACAGGATTTATTGTTAACAAACCATCGGTCACCGCTTCATCTATGGCGCTGCGCAGGAATGAAAGATTATTGCGGATAGTTTTCAGTTTTGTTTTTCTGCTGGCGATCCAGTTTTTTAGTACTGCAGGTGTCAGTTCTGATACATGAAATTTATGCAATGCTGACAGCGCCGACAGGCATTTTTCATAACCTCTAATTGTCGATGGTGACAGGTTACGGTTCTGGCAGATAATCAGGTATTCATCCAGGTAAGATTTTATATTTTTGTTTTTTTTCACTCCCCCGAACAACTCCAGCTTTTGGGAGTTGGGGAAGTATTTTGCATATTCGAAGGTACCATCGATAATCTGATTTTTTATTTCTCCCAGCAGACGCTCGGCGTACTTCACGCCGCGCGCATTTACTTCCATTCTGGAGAGGGGTTCCCGACACAGAACCCCTTTATATGTAAAAGTGATAACCAGGGTGCTGCCAGTTTTATGCTGGCGAATAGTTACTCCTCTAGGGAGAGATAATGATCCTTGTTCTTTCTTGCCCATTTTGAAATCTCCATTAAGTCGACCCAACGTTCTTTAACTCCGTCGACTTTTAATACATGAATCCCTTCTTTCCAGATTCCTCTTTGTATCCGTTTGTTAACGGCATCAACCGTTTCTCCCGCGTCGCGGCAGTAGGTTGATATAGGCACGCAATCCAGTCCCATACATCACCTCACACAACATTCAGCCCACGGCAGTGGCACCACACTTCAAACATTCGTCTCACAATTTCGCGACAGTAGAAACCGTCAACATCTCGCGTCAGGTCATAGCGATTGCCGTAACGCTGGCGTACCCATAGCTCAAACGCTTTATTCATTCTTTACTTCCTTTTCATGGCACGTAATTTTTTCAGATGAGCTTCCTGTTCTGTTTCTGCCAGAATTTGTCGGTATTCCTGGTGATCGATCCGTTCAAACGATTCATTAAAATCGTTCATTTTTACCGATTGTGTTTGCCCGTCCATTCTTCTGTACAACACGGTGTTGTTTATGCAGCGAACAATTTTTACCGGGTAACCGGCACTGTCGGTATACAGTTGTCCTTGATTAATCAGAGCGAACATTTTTTCTCCTGCTCTCTGAATAGTGAGAACTTCAGAGTCGTATGTTTGTAGCGGGTTCAATACTGATAATTTCTGCTGAGACAAGCATCCCGGCAAGCCAGAGCTCTCCGGACAGGTCTTCATCCTGGCATATCAGTTCGCCAATATTAATGGTGGCCATGATATCCGTTTCCCCAGTACGCTTATCCCTGACTTCTTCATAAGGTAGCGTTGCGTACAGGCTTTCAATAGCGCAACTGATAACATCCAGTCCGGTCAGATTGCCGCCGACAGTAACTTCGAATGTTTCGCGGTATTCCCATAGTCCGAAAGTTAATCGAACGGTTTGTTTTGCCATGCGTCCGCACGACGTCAGATTCGGGTCATAGTTCATTATTTGCGGTTGAGTATTCTGGGTGTTCATCTGCATTTCCCTTAGCCCGGCGGCCTGCCGGGCATATAAGTTATTTAATCTGGATAAATGGTGTATTGGCACCACTGGTCATGTATTGCGGCAGTGTACCGTTCCACTTGTTGATGGCTTCCAGCTCCATGACGCCTGGGTTCTGGCGCAGAGCTTCGCCGCGTAAACGAATGGCATCGGCTTCTGCCTGGGCTTTTGTTCGAATGGCATCAGCCTGTCCGGCAGCTTCCGCACGTAGCATGTTGGCCTCCGCTTCACGTTGCTTGACTTCCTGTTCGCGCTGCAGGGTTTTCTGGTTTGCCGTGACTTTGGCGTTAATGCTGTCGATAACGGTTGGAGGGTATTCCGGTTTACCTACATAAGAGAGGCTCATTACCT